ACAAAGTGAAGGGCATGTCCAAACATTTTGTAAACATTTACCTTCACTCGTCAAGACGCACAATTGACGACAAAAAGAAAAGCCCATTAAGTGCCTAACAGATAATTCAAAATGGTTCTGCAGTCAACATCTGGAATCAAACATCGAAGGAAATAATGCTTGTAATAACAAGCTAGTTTTTCAGTGAACTCGCAGCAGCATACCATCTGAAACTAGCCTCGGCTCGCCACAATCTGATGCACATTTTCAAATTAAAATAAGAACACGTTTAAAGGAACGCTGTAATAAAACTAATTTCTAACATATTTGCCTTCACATTTCAACTCAAAACACGTCCACACACGGAGAAAACAAAAGGAAAAAGTTTAATTTACATCCAAAGGTGCTGGTCATAAAATTAGAATATCATGAAAAGCTTATTTGTTTCAGTAATTCCATTCAAAAAGTGAAACTTGGATATTATATTCATTCATTACACACAGACCGATATATTTCAAATGTTTTGTTTCTTTTAATGTTGATGATTATAACTGATAACTTAACAAAAAACCCAAATTCAGTATCTCAGAAAATTAGAAAATTGTGAAAAGGTTCAATATTGAAGAGACCTGGTGCCACACTCTAATGAGCTAATTAACTAAGCACTTGCAAAGGCCTTTAAATGGTCTCTCAGTCTAGTTCTGTAGGCTACACAATCATGAGGAAGACTGCTGACTTGACAGTTGTCCAAAAGAAGACCATTGACACCTTGCACAATGACGGCAGCACACAAAAGGTCATTGCTGAAGAGGCTGGCTGTTCACAGAGCTCTGTGTCCAAGCACATGAAGAGCGGTGAAGGGAGGGAAAAGATGTGGTAGAAAAAAAGTGTGCAAGCAATAGGGATAACTGCACCCTGGAGAGGATTGTGAAACAAAACACATTCAAAAAGTGGAGATTCACAAAAAGTGGACTGCTGCTGGAGTCAGTGCTTCAAGAACCACCATGCACAGACATATGCAAGACATGGGTTTCAGCTGCCGGATTCCATGTGTCAACCACTCTTGAGCAAGAAACAGCATCAGAAGAGACTTGCCTGGGATTGCTGCTGAGTGGTCCAAAATTATGTTCTCTCATGAAAGTAAATTTTGCATTCCCATTGGAAATTAAGGTCCCAGAGTCTGGAGGAAGAGAGGAGAGGCACAAAATCCACATTGCTTGAGGTCCAGTGTCAAGTTTCCACAGTCAGTGATGGTTTGGGCTGCCATGTCATCTGCTGGTGTTGGTCCACTGTCTTTTCTGAGGTTCAAGGTCAACACAGCCATCTACCAGGAAGTTTTAGAGCACTCCATGCTTCCTGCTGCTGACCAACTTTATGGAGATGCAGATTTCATTTTTAAACAGGACTTGGCACCTACACAATACCAAAGCTACCAGTACCTGGTTTAAGGAGCATGTTATCCCTGTTGTTAATTGGCCAGCAAACTCGCCTGACCTTAACCCCATAGAAAATCTATGGGATATTGTGAAGAGGAAGAAGCGATGCGCCAGACCCAACAATTCATAAGAGCTGAAGGCCACTGATCGACTCAATGCCACACCGCATTGCTGCAGTCATCCAGGCAAAAGGAGCCACAATTAAGTAATGAGTGCTGTACATGCTCATACTTTTCATGTTCACACTTTTCAGTTGACCCAACATTTCTAAAAATCCTTTTTTTAAATTGGTCTAAATATTCAAATTTTCTGAGATACTGAATTTGGAGTTTTCATTAGTTGTCACTTAGAATCATCAACATTTAAAGAAACAAACATTTGAAATATATCAGTCTGTGTGTAATGAATTAATATAATATACAAGTTTCACTTTTTGAGTGGAATTACTGAAATAAAGCAACTTTTTCATATTCTAATTTTATGACCAGCACCTGTACATTCTGGCCATGATCCCACACATCAACAGCCAGTTATCTGGAGCCTGGCCCTTTATTCACACAGATGACTAAAAAAATAAAAAATAGATCTTACATAAATGTGTTTATTTTTATAAATCTGATGAGAAAAACTTGAGGCAGAAGAATGTTCAAGTGAAAACTACTTGTTCTTGGTACCAACTCCTAATAATTGACCCTTTATAAAGGAAATGTATACATCCCGTGTGTGTACCGTATTTTTCGCTGTATAAGTCACAGCTTTTTGCATAAATTAGCATGCCTGCGGCTTATGCAACGAAGATAAGTATTTTTGTTTTCCCCCCCATATTTATAACCCAATTTTTGGCTGAGATCTGACAATTTCAATCATTTTGACATGGAAAATATGGAACACTACCATTTTCAGCCACTAGAGGGCCCTCGACTAATATGGCAAGCCAAGTGTCCCATTAATAGGTCAAATTGGCTATTAATGAGACACTTGGCTTGCCATACATGGCCACCTTCATCTCGCTCTGGAACTCCTGGAGCAAAAGTCAAATCAGCTGAATTTCACCACACTGCTCAGGCGAAATGCAGCTAATTTGACCATTAAAGTGCATTTATTAAGGAAAAGTTAAACTGAGACACGCCTTTGTTATAATTTCGATCAAACAAATAATTGTTTTTAAGTACTGATCTTGTTATATTCTTTTTAAAGTCCTCACGTAAATGCTCCCGCAGTTGGCATAACACCAGCCCACATTTCTTGGTTATCAGCGGTGACGCATAATAGATGCGACTTATCCAGCGAAGCTACGTTTTTATGTTTTTTCCCCACTTTATTAGACATATTTAGTCTGATGCAACTTATATGCTGGTGCGACGTTCCTAAACAATGTTTCTTAAGTCTAAACGCTCTACAAGAGCACAGAATGTCATGATCTCAGCTCTCTGCTGCTCTCTGCCAGCACTCTCGGCCACGCCCACTTCTCCGCTGCAAAGCGGATATGAAACGCCGCCGAAGGAAGCTTCTCCTGCAGTTGTGGGCTGTACACTGGTACAGCAGGGGCTAAGTAATTTAAAATAATTTACTTTAAATTAAAAATTCCATGCCGATCATGTGGCTCATCCATCAATCAGCCAATTGTGTGTCATGTCCAATCTTATTTTGAAAAACCGCGATAAAGCGAATCCACGAAAAACGAACCGCATAGTAGCGAGGGACTACTGTATATATAAGGAGCCCTTATTAGCAAGTGGTACGCTTTATGTTCCCAATATTTCTGAAAATGAAAACCCAAACAAGTATACATTTCTTTTGTAAAGTCCTATCCCCCAGATGGCAAGTGTCACAAACAGAAAACGCACATCACCCAAAAATGACAACAAAGAAAAATATATTTCCTTTAAAATAAAAGTCCAGCCCATTATGTTTACATGTGACACACAAACCCCCTCTCCACACAGCCCAAACAAACGTCTTAAAATCCTTCATTCCTATACAACTCAAAGCATAAAACAAGTTTTGAAACATGCAACACCATTCAAGAGTCCTATCTAATTCTGCTGTGCTAAGATTCATGGTAACTTCCTCAGACACCGACACGTTTTCAGCTAACTACAACTACGCCGTAAAGACCTACCAAAGTCGCCCAAAACCATTTCCCAAATACTTTTTAAGGACACTGATGTTTTTTTTTGTTTTTATAAAGAAAAATTATGCTTTTTTTATTGTGTGAAAACACATTTCCCTGTCAAGTATCCAAATAAAGCACTTGTGTAGAATAATATGTGTGCTCTTCCCTTTGACACCATCAGCCCAGCAGAGATTATACATCGGGTGGATTTTGTTTTGTTTTTTATAATTTTGAAAATGAGTATGTTCTCCAAACTAAAACTTGCAGATCTGACTGAATGTTCGCCATGTGCCAAAACCCTGACAGAACTCACTTATTGTTTTCCAACCTACTGGTATTTTAGATCATTTTTTTTCCATCTGGTTCCACCAATCAGTTTGCAGCTGTAGCATAAAAGACGGCAACGCTCTTTAAAAACAAACTAATAAACTACATTTCAACATCTCAGGGTTGTTTTCATCACTACTGGGACATGTCCTCTTCTCGTTTAGCATCTTTAACTGAGCCTTAAAGCCTTTTACTACATGCAGATACAAGCATCACAGAGGAAACGGTTGTTAGGCCTGAGCTGAGGTGCAGATTTTCCATCATTCCTGTTGCAATTTTACCAGAACTGTCAAAATATTTTTTTTAAAAACACGTTTTGTTGATGTCATTTCCACAAACAGCACAAAGTAGAAATCCAGCATTTTCAGTACCATTCGGCTAGAACACGTAACAACAAAAACGTAGCCATGTCATTTAAAGCTACTTCTCAGAACAAACTGCTGAAAGTGATCGGCGAAGTTTGGACACCTGTTGCTCTATGCAATTTTTTTAACATCAACTCTGAAATGTTTCGATGTAGTGCTTTGGTTAGTGCAGGAACCATTGACCAACAAGTCTTTTAATCTTCATGTTTGCACACTAGAAAAATGACATTCAATAACAGTCAACACTGTTCAAAAGAATCATAAATGCAGAACGTTGCCATGTAACAGCATAACAAGAAAAAGCTTTCATCACATTGGATAAAGCCTTAATGTTGTGTTCTAACTGTAAAGTAGCTGTTTGATCATGCTGAAAGAAATAAACCTATAAAACTGATATGAATAAGATGTTCAAGTGTTCAGTCTGCAGGAAGCTTAAACCAGTTTTTTTGCTTTTCTGCAATATAAAATTCAGATGACTAAAATGCATAAATTTCTCAAATGTGGAAGAATATTTCCAACTTTAACTTTACTGCGGATCACTTATGATAACTGCTCTATTTGCTCAGCTGGACAGTATTCATAACGAAACGCCACTATTATCTGCACTTGCGGAGGTTTAACTACAATTAGTTGGTTGAACATCTTTGCAGAAGATAAATGTGCTGGCCTGTATTGTTAGAAAACAAAGCAAGCAGTGGAATGGAGGACAGTTTAAAATGGCAGTCGCCTCGACATCAGTCAAAAACCAAGAACCAGTCATCTCGAGCTGTGGTCGTCTGTAAACCTTGTTTGAACCTAACTGAACACAAATGTGCAAAATGCTACGACTGTCCGGTCTGTGTCCTCAGTAGTGCTTTTCCTGCAGATAATCTTTCATCTTGTTAGGTAGGGGCAGTTTTTGGATAAGATCTATTCTTGTGTATTGCCTAATGACAAAGCGGCAAAGATACTGCAGGGAGCGCACTTGCATAAACCGAGATACTGGGTTGGTTAGTCTCACAGGGTAAGTTGCAGACCCTGGTAGGCGAGACCTGGAGTAACAAAAAGCTCCATTCTCTGAGTCTTTGATAGAGTGTTCAATTAGATCAACAATTGATGTGTGTCCCTCAACATCTGGTTGCTCATAGAAGCTGAATCGTCCGTTGGAGTGTTCGATACGGGTGTGGAGAGTTTTACTTTGAGACCTGAAGCTCAGGCTGAGCAGGTACCTGTCATCTGAACTGTCTCTGACCAGGAAGGACCCATCTACCAAGTTGACCAGTTTTTCCTCTGCTTCCCATCGTGTGATGGGACCCCAGTACCAGCCCTGTCGAGCAAGCTTCTTTAGCTCTTCAGTCAGACTGGTCACAACCATCGGTCCACTGCTCTGGACCGAGTCATAAACCCGACTGACCCCAGGAGCTGTGTTTGGATCAAAGTTCAGGTGGTGTCTCACTCTTTCAGCTACCTGGCTGTCTGAGGAGCTGAAGCTGGAAAAAGTCCTAGGGATATGTCCATTGCTTGACAGGGGTGGCAGGAGTGGGGATAGTGGAGGTGGGACTTCTACTTGAGAGCTTTGGAGCATCATACTTGCAGAACCTAGAAGAATACTATTAACTGAGGTTTCCATGAAGAGATCTGAAGGCATCCCACTGACCAGTTCGTGTTCCTCTGGTCCCTGGTCTGTGTGGAGGGACGCACTGTCCGCCTCTGTCACCACCTCCATAGGAGTAGGGCTGTCCAGGCAGAAAGTGTGAGACCCTTCTGGGTACATTCCTTCATCTAAAGGCATTGTGTACTGGATATAGTCCTGGGGTGTTAACCCCAGCACCACAGGCACATCACTTTCATCAATGTTGAGGTGCAGCTCACCATTTTGAGGTTGCTGGAGATTCTTTAAAGACTCTGCTTGGTCCTGAAAGAGCCCTTCCATCTGGAAAGTACGAAATTCTTTCCGAACACCATTTAAGTTGGGACTTGGCGAAGGAGAGTGGACCATGGCTTTAACCTTTACCTCCATCTTGATGCACGCCTCGTCGGAATTGACGGAACGCAGAGGCCACGGCGTAGGGCTGTAATGGTGACTCCGTAAAGACGCGGATCTAAGAGGTCTCTGGGCTTTCACGTCAGTGCTGATGGGCACGGAGGAAGATGAAAAGGTGTCATCATCATCATCGACTGAACACAATGCAGATGAACCACCTTTTACTTTTGCTTTCTGCTTGTTAGACAGCCTTCTCTTTAGCGAACCCATGAGGCCCTCACTCTTTGAACGACTCTTATTCTGGCCTCCTTTCTCGTCTTCACAACCAAGATCACAAACTGAAAGCTCTTTGGTATAGCAGCCCCCAAAAAGAGAGTCCTCTTTAGAAAACTCTGTTGTGACTGAAGGCTGCTGGAGCATAACGAAGTCACCCTCCTCTTTGCCCTTTATGTTGAGGGACTTGCGAATGGTCTTAAGGCTTATCTTCTTCATTCTGACAGGCCCTCCAAAGTGGGGGCATATGGTGGCTCGCCTGGTATCCTGATGAAAGCACTATCCACACTGTCCTCCCATCAGGCCACACCAAACAAGTCATCCATACAGTGGAGCCATGAATCCCTGAAAAAAAAAAGACAAAAAAAAATTGCTTTGTTTTATTACAGCAGGACTTTTTTTTAACAAATATTTAAGCAATAATTGTCTTTTATCTGGTTCGTACATTTTTTTTTAATTAAAAAATAAATAAAATAAAACTAGCATATATGAAAGACAAAACGTCATGTTAACAAATGTTCCAGACATAGTGCAGCTAGGCGACGTCAAGTTTTACAAATTTCTTCTCATTTAATGCCCCATGCTGTACACACGTTTCTGTGGTAAATGGACTGTACGTCTAGGATTGTGCGATACGGCATATAATTCATATCACGATATGCATTGTGAAGGGTGGTGATAAAGATATATATCACAATATGTTTTTGGTACAAAACTTGCAATAGGAATGAAAAAAGCATAGGGTGTCCTTTTGCCATCATTTATTTTGAAAACTGCTATATCACAAAATAATCCCAATTAAGAAAATTCCACTACTAGGTCCAGAGTTTTTAAATAATAAACAAATCAAGTATTAGGCTTATTTCTTGTACAAAAGATATCAAATGTAGTTTTAGCCGTATGTTTTAAAACACAAGAATATGTTGTTAACTTTTAACAGATTCCAGTCTTCTCACTTTATAAATGAACAGCAACAGAGCAGCATTTTACACTGAAAACACTTCACCCTCTAGTGGACGTCTCCTTTCGCTATAAGGAGAGTTGACACAAAATGGTGACCAGTTTCCTCTGTGGCTGTGACCAGAGGGTCTCGCAGAAAAATCCCACAACACAGCGTTCTTTTCACAGCTCAGAGAGCAGGTTTCTCGAAAACTGACCAACGCTTACTTTAACTTTCGACAGAAAAAAAAAAAAACTTTCAATAGAACGCAACGTTTTGTGCATGCGTCAGAATACGACAACACTACGGCAAGCCGGCCGTAGTTAGCTCTCAAAGAAAAGACTTTAACACCACTTACACACAGTTTTCATCTAAAAAAAGTAACGATTAAATCTGACAACTCTGATTTTACATCAGACACAGCATTACTGTGGTTAGCCGGTAGAATACAGATCTCTATCATAGGCTAAATGTCTATCATTTCTACTGTATATATCGCACATTCCTATATAGCACCTTTCTATCTTATCAAGATACTCAAAGCGCTTTACACTACAATCTGTCCGCATTTACCCATTCATACAGCACTCTACAAGATCTCTACAAAGCTAACTGAACAAATCATTCTAAAGAGACTAATCAGTGCTTCATCACATTCATGCACCGATGAGACACACATCGGAGGCAACGAGGGGTTCAGTGTCTTGCCCAGGAATACTTCAGTATGTGACTGCTGGTGGATTCGAACCGCCAACTCTTGCAATGGAGGACGACTGCTCTAACCACTCAGCCACAGACGCCCTTGCAGTATGGTGTGAGGCATTATTAGTGGGAAAAGAGAACAGCTCATAAGCTGTTTGACTGGAGTCCTGTGAGTTTAAACAGCAACAAAGCCTGCACCTACTTTGCATCTCAAAAAACTGCAACTTTGATTCCAAGTCAAAAGAATTTATCTCATGTAACTAGTTTAATGATCAAGGATCTGTATGCAAACAAGTTTTCCCTTTCTGTAAACACAGAGCTTCTCAATTTCATTTGAATATCAGTGCATGTAATTACAGCCTCAAATGTCAAATCAATGTCAAGGATGGTGTCGAGATCTGATCATTCTCAGTGTATTTGAAAATTAACTCCATTACACAACTGGTGCCATGGAGCTCTTTCTGTCAAGTAAAATGAGTAGAAACACCAGCCACTATCAAAAATTAAGACAATTCACAGATGCATCCTGAAGTCCTTCAGCAGTTTGTTGAAAACCTCTCATATAGCAGCACTGCAACATAATCTTAATTAGAAAAAAAAAACTATTCTCAATGGAAAAAAATATATGCAGGATGTCAGAATGGTTGTAAATTTGCCATCGAGCCATTATCTTTACCCGCTTCTTCCTTTCTGGGCCGGGAGGGTCTCTGGTGCCCATGTTCAACAGTCAGTGAGGCGGGGTACACCCTGTACAGGTCGCAAGTCCATCACAGGGACACATAAGTTTCTTATTCTAAGTTCAAGATGCACAAACCGGGTCAATGCCAAATAATCTAAAGAGATACCACAGTTCTGCCATTAAAACACATTTATTTAATGGCTTGTTTTAAAGTAGACATTTTCCCCACATACACTGCATTCATTAAAAAAAAAGCAGTGCTTTAGAAGCGCAGATATTCACCTTATTTCTTTGGACCTTATTGCAAGGATTGCACAACAAATAACCTAATAAGACGTTCAAAAGACCATTCATTATGCACATATAAGAATAAAACAAAAATTGCAAAGTCAAATGTATAAGAGGAGGTACGGAAGATCAATAAGCATGCACACACATAAATAAAAGAGGAACAATTCTCCATTTGCTGACTTGTATCTACCAATTAGTCAATGTTGCGGATACAAGATGCTGTCATCAGGTTGCCTAATCAGCTGCTCTCAGCATCCGGTATACAAAACAGACATTTTCACATCATGCATTTTTGTAAATGGTCCTGCAGCCTCTGTGTTAAAAACAAAATTAACCATTTGTGTGTGAATCATTGCCCACCAGCTACATCAAACAATATAAACGCTGTGCCTTCAATATAGAGAAACCATTCATGGATTAAAGCAGAAAAAAAAAAAAAAATCTTTTGACTGAATTTTTTTCTACACCTAGAAGTCACCCAACCCCCAGTGTTTTCAACTGATGGGTAGTCAAGACGTATTTTTAAAAATTATAGCACAGCAAGTCCTTTGAAAATTATAAATTACCTTAAAAAATCTAGACTGATAAGATTTATCTCCTAAAATGATTCTCATTCAAAGGGATTATAGTTACAGGATTTCAGATCAGCGTTTCCCCTACCATTATCCGAGGAGGGTGCCCCGCCCTGTCAACAGAACCGAGCACCACGCCTACCGAGATCGTCACACACACGCGTCAACAACTGCCGGCACTGACATAGCACTAAGCTAACGGCATGCAATACAGATGCGCTAACTCCAAAGCTACAGACGTAGCACTCGGCTACCACACCCCTCGACAAAAATCCACGAGGACATGATCGCCCTGCCAAGACAAGTGACCTAGGGGAAACACTGGATCACATAGTTATCCATCCATCCATCCATTATCTTTACACGCTTATTCCATTTTGGGTCACGGGGGTCGCTGGTGCCCATGTCCAGCAATCACTGTGCGAGGGGCGGGGTACACCCTGGACGGGTCGCAAGTCCATCACAGGGACACATAGAGACAAACGAGACAAACAACCATTCACTCACTCATTCACACCTAGGGACAATTTAGAGTTACCAATCAGCCTAACATGCATGATTTTAGTCTGTGGGAGGAAACCAGAGTACCCGGAGAAAACCCACGCAGGCACGGAGAGAACATGCAAACTCCACCCAAAGGCCCCTGGACCGGGGTTTGAACCAAGGACCTGCTCGCTGAGAGGCAGCAGCTCTACCAGTTGCGCCGCCGTGCTGCCCTACATAGTTATTTACTACCATATTTTTCGCCCTATAAGTCGCTGTTTTTTTGCATAATTTGCATGCCCTGCGACTTATACAACAAAGCGACGTATTTATGGATTTCTTCCCATATTTATAAAACAATTTTTGGCTGAGATATGACCGTTTTCATTCATTCCGACTGAAAACATTGAACACTACCATTTTCAGCCGCTAGATGACACTCCGTTGTATCATGTAATAAGTAAAAGTGGCTATTAATGATGCAATCGGCTTGCCATGGCCGGCCAACGTTGTCTTGGAGCAACCGTCAAATCGGCTTCATTTTGCTGCGCCGCCCCAACGAAATGCAGCTTATTTGACCATTAAAGTGCATAAATTAAGTAAAAGTTCAACTATGACACACCTTTACTATAATTTTGAGCAAACAAATAATTGTTTTTAAGTGTTAATCTTGTTAAATTATTGTTAAAGTCCTCCTGTGCAAGCTCTCGCAGCCGCCATTTGGCAGCCAATCGATTTTTGGCACAACACCGGTCCACATTTCCAGGTTGTCAGCGGTGACGCATAATAGATGTTACGTATACGGCGAAGCGACGTATTTATGGATGTTTCCACTTTATTGGACATATTTGGATTGATGCGACTTATGGGACGGAGCGACGTGTATGGCGGAAAATACGGTACTATTTATTTTTCAAATTTGATAATTTATTGAATTACATTCATCACAATACGATAGTTACATTTCTGTATTATTCTATATATAATCAAGTTTAGCACATTCAAACAGCCATAACAGCTTGTTATTGTTAAAACATATCGCTGTACAGAATTTAGCAGATATTTACGGTAAACTTCAAACACCTGAAATTGACTCTCAGAGAGAACTTGTGAGTTTGGGGAAAAATTAAAGTTAAACAGAGACGCGCATCTCTGCTATAATAAGGGGCATATAAATATTCATTTTTTGTGTGTAATTTCTTTTTTTTTAAATACTAAAGCAGCAGAAACAGCCTCTCCCACAGAAACTCAACAGGCTGTGCGCACCAACGTTTTTCTCTCTCTCTCAAACCCAGAGTTCGGTCATGTGCGCATGTCTGTACAATGATGACGACACTCAGAACCCATTAACATTTAATAATATGTAAGATTTTAGATACAAAAGTCCCGAGGAGGTTGGGGTGCGGTGCGGGAGGAGGTGATGGTTTAGCAGTTCTGGTATCTCCCAAACTGCGGTGAATTGGTCACGTGCGAACACGTTTATTACGTAGGCATTTAATAATTTATTACATGTCATCCCCTTCATGAAGGGGCAGGCAGTTCTGTTAGGGTAGCGGGGTGTCTTTTACCTGCAGTTTGTATCTGCTGCTCACACCCGGGCTCACCGCGAACCAGACTGCAGGACCTGCCCTGCTCTGATGAGGTAAATGACTTTGGTTGTCTTTATTGGATGAAAGTATAATCATTAGATTGGATGACTTTACAAGTCCACAACACTTGCTTCCCCTCTTCATTTTCACAGATGACTGAAATCCATCCAGGCCACATTCAAAATGATGGAAATCTGTCACGGCAACAGAATTTTAATCCATGCCATTATAAATAACATACCGTTACAATTTAGCATGAACTTCAGAGTAAAACTGACCTGACTACAAACATAAATGTCACATTCAACAGCAAAACCTTCTAAATTAAAGTAACATCAATGTTACCTAAGTGGAGCTTTTCTTTTGACTAGAAAGTCTGTTCCTGTAAAACAGAACTAAAGTGTCTGGACATCTGATGAGTGAAGCTCTTAAACAAAGCTGCTTGATAATCAAAACAGCTGCAACCTGATTACTCACCATTATCTGCAGGAAAATAGTGACTCAGATGGTTGGGTCAAATTCCACCTCCACCACCTTTCATTTGCTGCTGAGGAGTAAAAGCAGTCCGGTTAAAACATATCCATAAGTATTTGCATGCAAAGTTGCATGAGAGCGATGCATATATACATATAAATGCATGCAAGTTATAAGAAATTATGTCTAATAAACAAAAACTGAGCAGGTATGCCCTGCCTGACCTAAGGCCTAGGGACATGACAGCATGCTTTTAGCTTAGCTTCGTTTGCTAGCTTTCTACTTTTTATATATATATATTGAGCGGCATTATTCTAAAATGCTTCATTAGCTACTTATTTTGCAGAAGTGACATTTTACGAAACCAAATAGTTTTGTGAAAGAGCCGCCCATTATTATGACAGATGCTAAGCGAAAGCTAACCTAGAACTGTTAGCATACCTACTACAAAAGTAAATTTAAAACTCCCAAGTGTGTAAGAAAGAGCAGGGAATTGTCTCTTACCTGTTCAAATTCACTTGTATTAGTGGGGAAAGTAAACAAAGCTTTTTTTGTCCTGGAATAAGCCTTCAAAAAAATTAGTTTAAGGATTGACTCTTTGACGATTATACTGGCTAACGTTAGCCTAGCTTTGTTAGCGTGTAATCCCGAAAACATGAACGTCACCTTCCAAAGACAAAAACAAAAATCTAAAAGTGTCACCATGGACGGATTTGCTACTTCCCTTTAAAGACGGGAGTATATTGGTCACTACAAAAGGTACGTTAATGTGACATCTTTTCATCTAGGTTGGCTAACTCTTTGTAGCTCTCGGCCTCTTCGTTTCTTCCTTTGTTGCCTGTTGAATTGTGGGAGTGGAGTCAGTGAACGCATCACATGCAGCGAATCACACTGTTCATTTCCCTAAAGCCATCACACCCACAAATTATCAGCCAAACAATTAAACATGTTGTTTAAATAAAGTGAGCATTTGAAATAATTCATTTTGCATTTTCTTATTAAGCCAATCGGCTCATAAGTTTATTTAATGTGCTTAAAGTTTTAATTTATATAGGAAACATTACAATTCTCATCTTATAAAGTGCCAATATTAAATGACATATAACTGCTCTTCATAAGACCCACGCACAAAGTGATAGTACTTTCAAAGTGGGATCATGTGAGAATAGTTGTGAACAAATAGTGTCTTACCTGTGGGAGATAGCTGCTTGATTAGGCCTACCCTTTCTTGACGAATACTGTGTGCTGCTTTTCATGTTAGAGCTTTTGACTAAAATCATCTAAAGTTGTGAAATGACAGCGGTGTAGTTGTTTTTCTCAAACCTTGATTATAATAATTTGCACAGTCTCATGTGATCTTATGTGATGCCACGCGCTCAGTGACTTTCAGCTACTATTGAGTGTGTTATAATCATTTACGTGTTTACTAACGCAAATTAATTAGATATTGAACGCAACGCTTGAATGATGAGCTGTGCTGTGGGACTAATGGCACACATGAAGCATAAAGAAATTTGATTTAATTTGATTTTAATTTCATGTTGAGATGAATCTTAATGATGTCCTGCCATTTCCTGTGAATATATTAAGTGCCATACGAAGTCAAAGGGTATTTGATTTGCCTGCCTAACATGCACAACATAAAATCCGAACAAGATTTGACGATGGATTGAATTGTTCTTCATGCTGGCTTTGTCTCATCTTAAAAGTCTATGTGTAAAAAAGTTGCAACCAAAGCTTAATAATTTTTTCCTACATCTTTGATTCCTGCTGATGTCACCAGGGGTGCCTCATGCAAATAGGAGTGTGTGATGATTGCTCTCTAAAAAGTAATTTCTATATTTTAGTAAGAATCGCACACATAAACATACAAAGTACATGATGGAGCGCAGAAATGCTTTATTTATATAAAAAGCAAGTTAGCTTATATTTGATGCATCAGCACTGGAGCACTATGAAAGTCTGAAACAATTTAGTTGAGAAAATGTTGGAAAAGTGAGCAATTTTTAAAGCAAGTTGCCTTTTTTTCTTTCTCTGTCATGTCATAATTCTGGCCATGTAGCCTTTGAAATGATTTAGTGCTATATCAACCAACTCAGAATTACTTTTCCTTGGGTGTCCCAACCGACGTACAAAGATTGGTTTTCAAAATTGATCTGAGCTACTTGGTCTTTTTTTTATTATAATACCCGAGTCCGAAAGGGCTGTTTTCTTAACCGAAAGTTGTTAATTTTCTTTCTAAATTGTTTTAAATCCCTAGCATATGTGTTTTATGTTTTCTGATTATGAGAATATGCAATAAACTTCATTTTATTTTTGTAGATCAGCACGTTTCTGCAGACAGCTGTGCGCAAGTGGAGCAAAAAAAAAAAAAGTTTATGAAAATAAAATGGAATGGATTAAATGATGAGCTCAAACAAAGTACAAATATAAACCAGATTTTAAAAAAAAAAACTGTATAAAAATGAGCTTATTTAAAAATATGTTGTATAGGATGGGCGTCTTAAAGACCAGAAATGCTATTGTTGCTATTAATAATGTGTAAATAATCGTACATTCATTGATGAGAATGTGAGGTTTAAGTGTTGTTTAATGTGAGAGTAGTATAAGGGTTATTTGATGTGGAGAGACTAAAATGATTGTATATTGATGTGTATGACAGGAGCAGGGTCGTTCTACCTGCTCCTTTTTCAGAGAGTCAGAGAGTCAGAGTCAGAGTTTCTTTATTGTCATTCGCACCTCATGTGGTACATGTGGTGGAGCGAAATTATGTACACAGGGTCCCAGTTACATCCAACAATAAAATGTATAAGAAAAACAGTAATAACATCTAAGATATGAACTAAGAAAAACATCAACTAAATATACACTAAGCACTCATAACATAAAACATTGAACATCAGCACAAACATGAACATGAGTCTGTGAGCAGATGTGCACGCATGAACACATCAACATTGAAACAGATCAGCAGCAACATGAAACAGATCAGCAGCAACATGAAACAGATCAGCAGCAACATGATATGGTTTTTCACAGTGATTATTCTAGTTAGAGATTCATGAGTCTAACAGCCTCAGGGTAGAAGCTGTTCCTCATTCTAGTGGTTCTACACTTAATGCTCCTTAACCTCCTTCCTGAGGGGAGAGGGGCAAAAAGTGTGTGTGCTGGGTGGGTGGGGTCCTTCATGATGCAGGTGGCCCTCTTCCTGCATCTGGAGGTGTAGATATCTGTGATGGTGGGGAGACTGATTCCAACAGATTTCTGTGCAGCCTTCACCACTCTCTGCAAAGCTTTTCTTTCTGCAGCTGTGCAGCCTCCATGCCACACATTGATGCTCGAGCACAGGATGCTCTCCACTGCACACCTGTAGAAGGAGGTGAGGACTGAGCTTCCCAGACCAGCTCGCCTCAGCCGTCTGAGGAAGTAGAGTCTCTGATGAGCTTTCTTGATCAGGCTGGTGGTGTTGTTGCTCCAGCTGAGGTTGTCATTCATGTGTACACCCAAGTACTTGTAGCTGGAGACCACTTCCACCGCAGATCCTCTTATGTTCAGGGGGGTGTAGGTGTTTTTGTTCCTTCTGAAGTCCACAATCATCTCCTTAGTCTTCTTCACATTGATGTGAGGGTCGTTCTACCTGCTCCTTTTTGAACGAATTGTGCAAAATTGCATGTCAATTGGCATGAATATTTGTTTTATTATTATGTTTTCTTTCTTTGTTTTTTACTTTTTATTGTCTGTTTGAAATAAATATATTAAATTTAAAAAAAAAATTAAATATTGGCGTAAAAAGTGATTTTATTGGTTTTACACCAAATACATGTTATTTCATTAATCATACAATAAAAATTGTGTACTATTAGAAATATGAACAATAGCTTTTCCCCACTGATGCTGGCTGACTCCATAGTAATATTATCCTCTATGAAAAGCTGAAGGTAGCCAATAATGTCTTTGTCCACCTGAATCTCTGTCTTTTAGCAAAATATATCATGAACCACTGGACTACATACAGTAAAACTTTGTTGAATTAATCATTTGAAGTATTTGTACAACTGGTTATCTTTAGGACTCAATCCAATTCACAATGGCCACTACAGCTAATTCACATTAGCGAACACAAAAATGTTAAGATTATGTGTTTTTGTCTTACTGTTTCATATTTATATTACTGCAGGTGCTGTGACTTGTCAGAGCAGTGGATCCCCAGCTGTCTCCAATTGCAGCTGGTCACCTCCTTCTTATGGCTGAGTCAGTCCAGGAGTCATTGTTGGACTGTTGGTTACTTCACGACTCATCAAGCGCTCCTTGGATGACTCGTCTCCTCATCCTCTCCTGAAAATCACCTCCTGTGGGGAAGTCAGTCACACCAGCAAAAGACAAATATATTAGGATCTCAAGTTCAAGTTTATTGTCATTTGCATCACATGCGGTTCATGAACTGGAACAGAATTGTGTACTCGGGGTCCCAGTTACACCCAACAATTGCAAAAATATAAAGTATAAAAAGAAACGGTGTATAAGGATCTAAGATATATGCTAAACACTAATAATGTAAAAAAAAAAAAAAAAAACAGTGTAACAACAACAGCCCGAACATGAGTCTTTGGTGAGCAGAGGTATGAATAAATTAAAACACCAGCATGAGATAATCAGCAGCATGAGATCAGCAGCATGGTTAATCAGCAGCACAGATAAGTCACATATCACCAATTAAAGTGGAATTACAGTGTTTTTTTTTCTTGCAGTGATAGGGACTTATGAGTAACAGCTTCAGGGTAGAAGCTGTTCCTCAGTCTAGTGGTTCTACATTTAATGCTCCTTAACCTCCTTCTTGAGGGGAGCAGGGCAAAAAGTGTGTGCGCTGGGTGAGTGGGGTCCTTCTTGATGCAGGTGGCCCTCTTCCTGCATCTGGAGGTGTAGATGTCCGTGATGGTGGGGAGTGCAGCCTTCACCACTTCCTGCAGAGCTTTCCTCTCTCTACCTGCCTGCCTGTTCTCCAACATCCAATTCAATTAAAAAATACTTTATTACTCTCAAAGGGAAGCGAGTAAAATATAATAGATGAATGGATGGAAATTAAATGTTGTAAGTCATCATCCTGGTTTCATTAAAGAGTTGTGCTGTGGGCAGGAAGGATCTCTTGTAGCGTTCTGTCCTACAACGGATTTGAAGAAGCCTCTGATTGAAGACACTCTGTTGTTGTATGAGTCTGATGAAGAGGATGCTGAGGGTTGTCTATAATATTCTTCATTTTATGAAGAATCCTTCTTTGTACAATCATCTCCAAAGGTTCTAGAGGAGTCCGCAGAACTGAGCCAGCCTTCTTTATGAACTTGTTGGTCTTTTTTAAGTCACTTGCTCTGGTGCTGCTCCCCCAGCAGATGATGGCAGAAGAGACAGCGCTCTCTACAACAGACTTATAGAAGATATGCAGCATCTTGTTGCAAACACTGAAGGACTTACGCTTCCTCAAGAAGTACAGTCTGCTCTGGCCCTTCTTGTAGACGGCTTCACGGTTGCATCTCCAGTCCAGTCTGTTGTCCAGGTGGTATTTATACTTCTCCACCACCTTCACTTCTTCTCCCATGATGGAAATAGTATTGTACCCGTTCCTGTTCCTCCTGAAATCTACAACCATCCCCTTTGTTTTATTCACATTCAAGATGAGACAAGATCCTGCGCCTGTCTTTCAACATACCTGGAGGCCATCCCCTGAGCACAGTACCCATCATCCTTTTGGTTACCCCCCCCCCCCCCGCCAAGCATGGAAACAAAGACAGCAACCCCTTGTGCCCTTGGCTACCTCCTGACCTCTAAATAAATCTTTCCATT